TCAATACGCTTCTCATCAATGTGTTTTACATTTTTCATGCATATTCGAACTTTTAATAAACATTGCAATCATTCAATATGATAAGGTAATATATATAACTATCATTATTAGCAAACGATCAAAATTTCGTTCCATAAAATCAGGTCTGGTTCATGATGTTTTGGGGATACCAAATACTTCACAAGAAACCTGTAGCATTTTTCTAAAGTTAGACTTGCCCATCCCCAATTACACCCCAAAATATTGAAATGCATATATATTTAAATCAAGAAAAACTATAATATAGATTCACGTTGCTGAAATTGCATCAGCCGGGCTTAGAGTAGCGTGTTTAATTAAGGTCTTCCGTCTTCAGCGGAAGACCTTACTGTTATTCTTAGGTTTTCATTACACTATTTTTATTATTATTGTTTTTTTTCCTTACCGATTTTGTGCACTCGAGTACTCGAAAACGGCACGCCCAATTGTTATGAAACTTTTAGGTCTGATAGAACATCAAAAAATCTAGATATATATTTTTTTGTTTTAATTATAATGACGTCACTTCCGGTTCGGAGATTTCCGTGATTTAGTGATTTTTGAGGTGTCACTTTGTCCGGCAGTTTTCTCATAAGTGCTTCCAGATAGAAACATGAATTTTTTCAGCAATGATAGAGCATTATGTGTAGATGTGACATACGCATTTTTCCCCCAGAAGTACCGCACGTTGGTGCTCGCTATGGTCCGAAAAAGGTCCTATCGGGAAATTTTAAAATTTCTATGACTTTTTTTTTTTTTACAGTTTCTCTTTACCTGTAAATATTTTGTTAAAACATATAGAATAAAAGTAGTGCGGAATATCCCGATCCTTCAAAGAATATCAAAAAAGGGGCTGGCCCCTTAAATTAGGGAGCTAGAGGGGCCGAATTTTTTTCCTGATAACTCAAAAAGTATTGACAATTTGTAATCTGAATAACAAATTCAATTTGTTATTCTTCAGAATAACAGATAGCAGCTAAGGAGATCATTAAAAGTCGTCGAGACAACGTCACGTCCGGTAAAACCGGAAGTAGCCGTAGTCGTAAGTGACTCATTTTTGCACACATGACCGTAGACGTCTCTCGATCTCGATCTCATCTGCTTGAGAATTGGACGGAAGAGTTATTTGTTGCTCGTCTAGCTATTATTATTATTATTATTATTTTTAATAAAATAGTCTTTAATTATTTGTATGTTCTTCTGCTTTATGGATATACAGTACCGACCGGACACAACCTAACATCAGAACGAATTCAAAGTTTACCCCGGGTTCGCTTCCTTGGCTCTCTCGGAGTCCGCTGCGGGTCCGCTTTCAGAAATTTTGGGACCGCTCTGAGTGCGCTTCGGGTTTGCTCTGCGTTCGTTCGGGGTCAGCTCTGTGTCCGCTAGAGCGAACCCGGCGTTCGCTTTCCGGGTTCGCTTTACGCACTCATGCGTGAAGCGGACCCCTCTTTAATCTTGCCGCCAATAAGCCCTGCCCCTTGTATATTCCAAATACAGTAGTGCAATCGATCATTGTTGTTTTTATGGTGATCGAAACATGTACATGTAAGTGGCAATATGGAGAACGTTGATATTTTTTAAAGAATTTCAACGTACATTCGATGTAGAATTATCACTTTTATTTTTCATAACTTACAAGTATATCCAAAAAAAAAAAAAAAAAAAAAAAAAAAAAAAAAAAAAAAGAGAGGAAAAGGTGTTGAATTTATTTTCGATGTATCAGAATTGATGAGTATCTTAACAAAAGAAGCTTTCAACTTTATTTGTTAACATTATTCATGCGTGAATAGTTTTAAATCAATTGGAACTTCCAATTGTAATTGCAATTGCTAAATCGTAATTTAAATGTTTGAAAGACAAACAACTGAATTATGATCTTATCTATGAAATAGCTGAGACATACTGTACACGTAAAATGCTAAGATGCTTTTTTTATTTCGCAGTTTACATTTAAGCTAGGCTGTCGTCCATTACATGTACATGTAGGTCTTGATAATCACTAAAAATTCTCATACAGTGTGACTTGAGTTTCGTTTTACAGACCATTTTTATTTAATTCCATGCTATAAATCATTGTTTTATAGGGCGAGTTTAACGGAAAACGTATAAAAACAACAACTAATAAACCAAAGCAAACAAACAGACAAAAACTAATAACTGGTCCACTGAATCATGTAAGAATATATTATTTTTTAAAAAATTATTTTACAAATAAATGATCATATAAATAGTTTGTGTTTCTTACTGGTTCATGACCCCACCCCACTACATACATGTACATACTGGAGCGGCATGTTAACAAACAAAATTCTAAATGTTTAAAAATAAATAAAAACAAGAAAGAAAACAAACAAAACAAGAATTCAATAACTGTAAACTTCGCATGATTATGTAGATGAAATTAAGATAATAACGCCCGATTTTTTTTATTTCTATGAGCCCCCACACCTCTCCGTACTCGAATTTTTTTCAATGTTTCGGTTGTAGCGATTTTAATTTCAAATAACATACAGTGCTCTGTCTCTCTCTCGAAAAGCTATTTTACTGATTTTCAGCATTCAGGTTGCAGCAAATTACATGAACATGTACTCTTCATGCAACGTACAAAAGAACTATGACGTTTCCAAATTTACAAACAAACAAAAATAATAATTATAATTGTATTTCTCATTGATAACGTGCACAGACGAGGTAACTTAAGGGACATGAAGGTTTTATGAAAGGTTCGAATGTAAGCCCTTCACCGGTATATGGTGACGTCTCTATATGAGTGAAAAATTCTCGAACGGAACGTTAAACTACATACAATCAATCAATCAATCAAATGTAAGGGGAGTATATACTCAGGTATACTGTTACTATGGAGACAGTATGCATCCAGCTAGCAAGTGTCAATTAAAAAAAATCCCACCGCAATTGCTCTTAGCACCAGCAATATCTCCGAAACAAGTGTATGATTACCGACACGTAATGACCCTAGCTTCACTTTGAAACTATAATTTCTAAAGTGTTAAAATTAAATAATTATGACAATTAAAACAGTTCAATTACAGGTGCCTATGTAATGAAAAAATAAATTACGATTTCGTATTGAAGTATCTTTGCAAGTTTAATTTACTAATGTTGGTATTACGTGTACTTGTCATGCACAAGAACAAAACGTACACGTCAAGTATTTTTTTTTTAAAATAAAAAGTATTTCGAAAATTACATGTAGTACATGTAAGAGGTTCGTGTACATGTACACCTGTATAGATATATCGACGTGAGGGAAAGTGATAAGCATTTTCGTGCTCTTTGGACCGACTTGCAATTCGTTACAAAAATTCAAAAACATACAAGGTCTACATGTAGGATAATTAGAATTGACAAAATAATCTTTCCCTGTATACATGTATTTAAATGAAGCTATTTATTAAATTTTGGTAAAAGATTAATAAAAAAAAAATATCATACTAGTTTAAAAAAAAAAGAGATTTTTTTTCCAATTTACGAATTGACATAATGCACATTTATACTGTATAATGTACATTTAATTTTTTTTTCATGATCAGTTACTGTAGATTCCTAAATATACGCGAGAAATTAATTTTTGCGTAATGACGCGAGAAGCACAACTCGCGAAATAAAACTACTCGGTTTCATTTTTATGGTGCTTAATGTATGCAAAATCTCTAGATAAATCACCCATTCGCGATTTATTGTTCTCGCGATTTGACGCCCTTGGGCCATTTCGCGATATTAAGAACTAGCGTAAAATAAGGAATCTACAGTATTAAGATCGATAATTTCGATGTTGATCTGGATAAATTAAAACGAGTATGTAAATTGTAATAATAAAAATAAAATAATTGAATTAAAGCACGTAAATGTCCTTATACTGTATTTTGAAATACCGGTATTGAAATTCTATAATTTGTCGAAGACCTTTTTTTGTTTATTCTTTTCTTTTTTTTTAGTAACAATTGTTATAACCAGTATTATCTTCTTTTTTTTTTCCCCTTTATACATTAAAGTACTTATTGTCTGATAAATTTACGCAATGTATATTTATATATAAATGGATTTTAAAAATATAAAGAAAATAAATATGTAACTATACATGCATTTTATCACTTCCTCTGATTGACAGACCTGTTTGGCATGTTGATTGGTCGACGAGCTGCTTGGTTAATCGATAATCCTGATGGACAGCTCTGTTACGCAACACCGAACGCGCGTTCGCTTTCTGGGACCGCTACTGTATTTGGGGTTCGCGCTCAGCGTTCGCTCTGGGTCCGCTCTTGGTTAGCTTCGGGTTCGCTACGGGTGCGCTCCGGGTTCGCTCGTGGTCAGCCTAGCGAACCCGAAGCGAACCCAGAGAGCGAACCCAGGGTGCGCTCTGGGTTCGCTTTCTGTCAGGTTGTGTCTGGTCGATACAGTATGAGAAGATAGCAATTCACTTGTACATGCACAAATAATAAATTCATGTGAGCATTTTGTGGCAAAATAACCAAAGAAGGCAAACGAATAAAATCCATTATAATGCTGTAGTTAATTTCAGTGAAGTAAAGTCATAGATATAACCAGATCTTTGCTGCTTTCTTAAAGAAATGTCCATTTTGGTTTAAGAACGATAGTTAAATATAACTATCGTTCTTAAACCATAATGGACATTTCTTTAAGAAAGCAGCAAAGATCTGGTTATATCTATGACTTTATCACGAGTGGAAATTAATAAAAAAAAACTCCGGATTTTATCATATATTCATGTTTTGCAGGAAGATTGTAAAAACATAACTATACTCGCATCTAAAACAATAAAACAAGGTTAAACAACTGTGATTTTGATATTTTGAGTTAAGACGGAAATAAAAAAATGTAGTCACGTAATCACAATACATGTTTGACATTCAAATTTAATCATCATAATATACTGCAGGTTATAATGATTCTTTTGTTTGTCGCCAATAACTGTACGATCAGTATTTGCAAATAACATGACGGGAAGGTGGAATGCTTCATCATTTATGCTTGTCTTTTATTTGCCTTATATAACAAGCTTCTTGTAAGTAGCTTCAAAAATAATTTTGACATGTTTTTTTAAATGTCTAAATATTTACCTACATGTACAGTTTTCATCTTTCAGAGTTTCTAAATGTTTATTTGGGGAAATGTATGATATGGCAACCAATTCTTGTGTAGGTAAGACTCACGTGTAAGATATAACTCCGAACTTGTTTAGCCTTAAATAATTTAAGCACAATTCTTTATTTTTTTTAAATTAGATGCAATATCTATTAAAAGAAAAATTCTTTCTATAGCCAGCAAAAAATGATGATATTTGAAAATAAAATACATACTTGAAGACCTTCCTACAATACCTTCAGGTTATTTTAAAAAAGAATCCAACTTCTCAAATCTGATCTAAAACACAAATAATTGGATAATGAAAACCTTCACACTACGCAAACTTGAAATCTTTATCACTCTAAAATCAATTAACGATAAAGAGGAGACAAGAATTAGTTTGATGATTTTTAATTATTTGTTGTCGTCTATGTAAGGTTGTGAGAAGGGATATTCTGGACCAAATTGTACCATACGTTGTCCATGTTGGATATGGTAAAGCCTGCCAGCTTACTTGTAGATGTGTGAAAGAGGACTGTGATGCTGTGAGGGGATGCATATACAGTACAACAGGGAAAAGTATGGGTTTTTTTCTAACTATGTATGGCACTGACAATTCAGTTCCATTGTATGGTATTCTAGACGTTTTCACACGTTTTTTTTTTGTTTTTCAGTGTTTTCGGGATTTTCAATCAGATTTAAGGCATATTCATTCTTTATTTAAATCTATCAAGAATTGTTAATTTGATTGGGACTCACGACATATATCTATAACGACTCCAATTATTTACCAAATGTATTTCTGTGTTTAACTTTTCTTTAGGACGAAGAACAGAAACTGAGAGAAAAATGTTTCTGAGGACTGATTATTTTGGTATGGATCTCTCAACTCCTCTTCCGATACAGCTGAAAAGCTTTCAAAGTACTGATTTACTAACACATGGTAATCATGAAAACGAACAATATAAAACTATAACTAGACAAACGGGAATAGGGGTTTTATCAAGTGTATTGATTATTCTTGTAATTTTGTTTGCTGCATTCATTTATTCAAGAAGAAAGTATTGCCAAGAGAGCAACGAGGAAAGGTATGAAATTCATTATGAAGACATTAAGTAAAAACGTAAAGCATAATGTCAACAACAGTTTATGTTATAATTTCTGTGAACTAACGCCCTTTTATCTGTAGCATTCGTACTTGCAAGCAGTATTGAAATCATTTGTGTAGTAAATATACACAATTCAGAATTTCTGCATGACTAGATTGCTCATTTTTAGCGAAAAGCAGGGTTCTCCATCATTTCAAATTTCACTGTGGTGCAATACTTAAGAGAGGTGCTAAAGAGCTAAAGCCACGAACCATCAAATTTGGCCCTGTGTTTTTCACAAAAATAAAGTTTTGATTCAACAAGAGTCCTATACATTAAATGTTAGAGGACAACATACTTATTTTCCATACGTAACTTGTTTTGTTAAATAATGCGCCATTAGGCACGTGCGACGGTTGGAACATGCGATGGTGTGATAAAAGCGTTAAAAAATGCCGATTTTTCGACAGATTTTTCCAAAGTAAGTTGTGGCCACAGTCAAGAACAACTTTTATACTTACCATAGATATAGATATTGCCGATACAAATCTTTATGCTTATTATCGTTGTTGTTCGTGGGTGTGGCCAATATGAAATTTGATTTTATATTTAAATTTTGATGCATCAAATAATCACTAATTTGTGAATCAATCGTTAACATTTAATTCATACAACAATAAAAAATTATAAATTTCACAAAATATGCGAAAAAAGCAATTTATTGTTCGTTTAAAACGCTTATTGTGGAAAAAAAAACCTCAAGAATAAACATTTTCTAAAATAAATATCTGGCAAAACATTTTTTTTATTGTGAATACATGTAGGTCCATTATATATGACGTTACTAATAATACGTCAGTTATGACGTCATAAAGGCTCTAAACTATTTGGAATGTTGCTGAAAAGTTTTTATGCTCTGGAATGCTGTCATTATTTGTATGATTTAAGCCCAACTGGATGATACCATCAGATTATTAATTATCAGAAATTCACGCCAAATTGTTTTCTTTACTGCCCTTAACACACCCACCCCACCCCCACAATACCTGCTATTTTAAAGCTGTTATTAGACCTACAATTTTATATTTAAGCATTTTTTAAAATATATATTTATTTTTATTTATTTTTGACATTCTTGCGACAAGTTTAATAATGTTGTGCGTGTTAACAGACATGACTCAAATTGTAAACAAATTAAAAGAGAATGTAGCAAAGATATCACGCTAGACCTCTGTAAAACAAACGAAATAATAAAAACATAGCTTGCTGTGCAAAGTGAAAATTAAAAAAAAAAAGGAATTAAAAAACGCATTTGGATAATCATCTACATTTCGGCTAAACAGAATCTAGGTCACGGGCGCGGGTTCATCAAGTGCAAGTGTTTTGACGAAACCCGATATCGATACACACATGCATATATACTATAACTATATTCTTTTGTACCAGCATATATAAGCTATCGATATAATAACTGTATATTTTAAAAAATCCTCTGAGATGATTCTTATGCATGTAACACAAAAGGGTGAATTTCCATCCTGCTTCAAAAGCATATATATTTTTCAATATGTCTGCATTTAATAAATTCGAAGAGAGGATATTGATGATGCATGTGTACATATATGCATGTGTACATATAACACATAAGTGATTTTGTCATCATTTGTGAAACATAATTCAGTTACACCCCAGTGAGCAAAAATGCATAAAAAATATCAGAGTATGTCTTAGAAATCCAGTATAAAATGTTTATGCATCTTTTACTGTGCTCCAAATATTTTATTGTTACTATCACAATATAAATAATTTATGCTTCTGATCGTCAGATAGTTGGGAGTAGTGGTTTTAAATCTATTTAGACAAAATAAAGAATAGAAATAAATAAAATAAAGTACACTACATATAAATTACTCGTAAGTTTTTTTTTATCTGCCACCATTTCTTCATTGCGACTGTAAGTATGCAGTTTTGTTTTATCTAAGAATTCAGCACCATGAAATCTCATAGAGAGAGAAAGAGAGAGAGAGAGATTCCTTAAAATGTTTTTAAAACTCAAAACAATAAACCAAGAATATATTCTTTGAAACGTATGGGCGTAAGTTGTTTATAGCTGGTTATTTTATACCCAATGAAGTAGATTTTTTTTTTATAATACATGAAATAATAATATTTTTTAAATCTATTGTCAGCTTATTCTGGTATAGTACACTTGTACCTCCTTCCTCAGTATTAATTAATTATTAGTATCATGATATGTAAAAAGGACTTATCGGGGGGGGGGGGGGTAGATCCAAGACTTCCAGTTGAGGTTGAAAAAAAGGGGGGGGGGTCACAAACTAATGACAGCAAAACTTGCAATTAATGTAATTATTTAAAGTTTAATCCCATAAGTTGTCTTGAATTTAAATTTCTTTATTGTTTATTAATTGAAATCAATCTAGAAATTGAAAATTGCTTTATACTTTCCTACTCCTCTCATTTTTTTTCTCAGTGAGAAGGGGAGGGGTGCCCGGTTCATAAAGAAAACTGAAAAGAAAATATAGGGACAGCTCTTATTGTTTCTGAGGGTGTTACCTTTTTAAGCAAGATTTTGTTGAATAAAATCAATCTTGCGCTGATTGCAGGACAATAAGACAAGGATAAATGAACACCCGTACATGTCTTTCACTTATGACTGTGACCCACATCATGGCCGTAGGAACCGGAAGGGGGGTGATAATTTTGCCGATATATAGATTACTATCATAAACATAGATACTATATGCTTGTGCCCCTCAATAAAAACGTCTGATGACCTTTTTTTTTTTTTTTTTTTTTTTTTGCTTGTCAGGAAATTTTTGGTAGTGCCTCCTCAACTGTCAACTGAAAATGTATGGCTGAGCCCCCCCCCCCCCCCAAATGAATTTGCTTCCTACGGGCCTGCACATATCAGCAATATAAATGTAGCTCTACTCTTTTTATAAACCATAAAAACCATTATGTGCAATGAAATCGAAAGTAGGAATTTTACACTATAGTTACGTATGCTAAAAACGAATATTTGCTCAAGTTTAATTATTTTGTGCATTTACATGAAAAATAATCATATAATTTTCGCAGATTTCTATCTTTACAAATTCCTTGCAATTAAGATATTTGGGAGAGAAATATTCGAATATTTTGCAAGAGAAGGGGGGGGGGGGTTCTAGCAAATATCGATAAATATAAAATAATGAACAGGGCTGATTTATTTTCTGCTTTAGCCTTAAATTAGTGATTTTTAACAGGTTTATCTTTCTTACGAATATTTTTTTGGAAATGTATTCCATATTATTCCAAAGAAACTCACATTTAGGGCGACAATGTTTTGATGAGTTTTGTTTGCTTAATAAACCATTCTGATAAGTTGCGACACCCCTTTTCAATTAATCTATGTCTCTGTTTCGAAAACGACGTTCAAAATATTGTTACAAATGAAACAAGTCTTTCCAACTTTTTACTTCCTCCCTTTTTCCAAATCATTTAGAACTTTTATATGTTAAAATACTCGCAAGTTAAGGATCTAAGAATTTCGCATTAAAAGTCAATTAATTTCCATTTAAACAATTTTTTTTTTTTGCAATTACTTCTATCCATTTATTGAATTACATTGTAGTTCTTCAGTTTAGAAACATTCGTTTTAAGATCATTTCAGGTATCTCGTTATTTTTTTTTCTGACGGCCCTCTTCCCCACTTTGAAAAACAAACTTCGTGCCTGGACGCGCATTCCAAAGATCAGCTAATATTTGCAGGCGTGTAGGAAAAAGTCCGGAAAACTAAGTTGGACAGGCTATCGTCATTTGAAGCAAGTCGTATGTTTTTTTTAATGATGTTCAATACTCAATACTTACATGTAATTAGGAGCGATGCATCGCACAAAAATGTGTTCAAGGGATAGAAATACAATGTTCCTTCTTAAAAATTATATTAGCATAGGGACCAGGTAGAGTGAAAACTTTCCGAGACAGTAACACAGATTATTTTTACTGTACATGTATCTATAAATTTCAATCAGTTAAACACGCAGTTGCCATCAAGACTGCGATGTGAAATCAATTTCCAACTGTCCTTAATTGTCTTAAATTAATTATGAAGTTTATTAGTAAGATAATAAATATCTATCCCAATTAATACTAGTTTTAATTCAAAGTCACATATGTAAAATCGCTCAAGGTAATTTTTCCGCCCTAAGACGTTACGTTTCAAAAAATGACGTTCTACTAGCATTTTTCTTTTAAAACACCGTCATACTTCAAACTCTCTTTTTCAAAAAATATAATCGATATCGAAAAAAGAAAAACGGCAAAGAAAAGCTAAAAGTCTACACTATCAATTGACAAAACCCCGTTACTTTTTGAGACAGGGCCATTTTTGAT